CCCCAAAACCCCAAAACCCCAAAACCCCAAAACCCCAAAACCCCAAAACCCCAAAACCCCATTAGGGTAAACCTTATTTAGAAGAGCCTATTAAATTATTTATCACTCTAGCTTAATAAAAGAAATGTTGCTCTATATTGGTCTATGATCTCAGGAGTTTTTCCAGGAAAGTTCTCAGAGATCTTCTCCAAAGAGATTTTACCATTAGAGTGATCTCTCAACAACCTATGAAGAACTCTTTTCTCGCGAGCAGTGAAAGTACTAGTGGTTAAGCATCTCTTTATTCTATCTCTGAGGGCGTATATTTTTCCATTCCAATTAAATTGAACCTTGAGCTTCTCTAGAATGATTCTTTTCTCATATGGGATTCTTGTTTCTTTAACACAGAAGTCCATTGGTTTCAGACCAGCTTGCTTGACAAGAGAAAGGAATACAGGGAAGAGCTCTCTATCATTTTCTTTATTCCACCGTTTATCCTTGTGAATCTCTAGTGTTTTCACCACTCTACTTGGGACATCAAAAGTTCACTCCTTTTTCTCGAATGATTTTGCTTTTATTTGAACCTAAAGCTTAGTTTGAAATGAGCCTACTGTTTTAAAAGGTGGACCATTGCTCTTTGTCTCTCCACTAGCATCAGAGAGGGAGGGACTATTGTCTACTAGTTTTTGAGGAGAACCTTCAGCTTGAGTGGTTGCTACGCTTCCCTTTCTTATTTTTAGCTTCTGGATTTTAAAAGTAGGATCCTTTCTTATTGTAATAGAGCTGCCTTCAACTTGGCTAGATTTTCGGAAATCTTCTCTAGTGGTGCCTTTATTATTGGGGCAGCTATTTTCACAAAAATTTAAGAGTTCCTCTCAATTTAAGTCTTCTTGAATTATTTTCCTTTGAGTTCTAAAGGGAGATTTAGTATCTGAGATGACTAATTTCAAAGATATCAACAATAATTATGGAGTCTCAATAGGAAGAGAACTCTATTTAAGGCAAATGCATACCATTCCCTATCAGCTTGACCGAATTTCTCAATATATTGAAGTGTATCATTTTGAGAAAGGTAGTCTAACACAGATCCATTTTCAAGTAATCAATCGGGCAAATTAAAATTTTGTCCTTCTTCCAGGTTGTCAAGACTCTCTTGGTGATCTTTAAGCTGATCTACTGAGTCTTCCTTGTTTTCGCAATTGAGTTCTATACAGAGGTCTTAGTTAGAATATCCTAATACACCATCTAGAACTATGAACTAATTTACAGGAAAATCCGCTCATGAGTTTTATAAAATAAATGCTAAATTCCAGATCTTATTGAGTTTTCAAATCGTCCTTACCTAGCTCTAAATGGTCTTTTGAAAATGACTGAACTGGCTGGAAGTCCTATAACCCTTTGTTAATCATTGTGGCAGGTTTAAAAGAGCATTTACATCAAAAAGACTTGATGAATACTCATCACCAATGCAATATTCGTTCATATTTATATAGATTTTAATATTAACTAAACTTTTTCAACTCTTAAATTCCTAATTGGGGTTTTGGGGTTTTGGGGTTTTGGGGTTTTGGGG